ATTTTTGAGAACGCTACAGTATTTTAAAAAACGTGGGATTCCAAACTCTTCAATGACCTTGAAGAGAACACACGATGTTATAACAAACGTGTCAAGAATTACGAATGTAGTATATGGGTGAATCTTACGAAATGTCCCCCGATGGTGTTACCCCGTGATATTTAATAAAACTAAATGAGTTTTACCTACACTTTTCTTGTGTTTTGATCTTTCATAATTAAGTAGATATTACAGCTCAGGTTCCAGATTTTTACCCGCAATTAATTATTTTTTACAACGTTTTAAAAGTCTAAAACCTATCCTCCGTGAATGTTACTCTTTCTAGGTTAACCTATATGTTTTCAAATATCTGAGGTAGTAAAAGCATACTAAAAATATCAGTTCACTAAGTAAATTAAACACATCCAAAGCAATCGAATCAAATATAAAATATTATTAAAAATTAAAAGAAATAATTTTCATAACCATTTATGTAGGTGTTACAAAAATTGATTCTATCCTCCGTGAATCTGTTTTTGCTTTAAACTTTATGGAACGGATGGCGCTTTAATCATTTTAAATAAGCAAAAATCTCTGTTTACATTATGGATGCATGTGATTCCTGAAGTTCAGTTAGAATTTATATGAAGATGAGAGTGTTACTGTTTTATAATTCAAAAGTTCATTAATTTGCTGTATGTATTTTTTAAAAATATTAAGGTTTCACAAGATACAATAACTTATTGGGGAACATCTCATTATATTCACCCATATACTAACCAATACTACAATACCAACATAACCAAATTCGTTAACGCTATAATCTTTTAAAAAACTATTTATTAGAATCTTGGCATTCATTGCAATTAATAAACGTTTGAAACTCGTATAAATACGTATTTCAATTCTTTGCAGCAAAAATGACTGAAAATATACATTTTAAACTCAGCGGTTTTTTTTGTAGTGCCATTTTGCCTATTTTTATTTAATTGAGTTTACATTTTAACGCAATAAAGTAAATATATCGCAATATCTTGAAAACAAAAGCTAATTTAACAAAATTATGGTCATTTTTGGAATCATAGCACCCCAATTTCCCTGGAAAAGTTGTTCGTAAATCTTGACACGCCTGTTTATGTTGTTTTTAGTAATTCTGGTATTCGAATAGAGGTGGAAATCGATTATAAATTATTCGAATATATTTTTTTTAATTAATTTAATTAAAGACTGCTGCGGTCATAGGCACCTTCACTTTAAATAAGTATATGTAAGGGTGTTTTCGAGTAATATGATTTATTTATTAAATATTTAATTAAATAATTCTTACAAAACTTGAGATACGAATTTTTCTAATGATTAAATATTTTAATATTCGAATATTTAAAAATTCGATTATTTGAATATTCGAATATTCGAAATAATTTTCAAAGGAGTATTCGAATTTCTAAATCTAAAAACTTCCCAGCCTTAGTTTTTAGTGGTATTGGATATATCTGTGAGCTGATATTTAAATTAGGACCACACATTTTACTATAGGCTCAATTTTTTTCCAAGGGTTTCAATCAAATTCGATTAGTTTAATGTGCAAATAAAATGCTTTTATCAATTACTGCGGGGATAATCAACATTGGCTCGTCGTCGTTTTCGCCTTATTTTTTCTATTTTCAATTCAATTTTGTGACGAAAAAAACACCACCTCCAGTATTATCTATATCATCTTTAATCTTGATGTTAAAGGTCTTTTCTATAAACACTTCGTATGGGGTCGGTTCGGGTCGGGAATTTTGAGCAATTAACTAAAAGCTATTCAACTTGCTCGGTGAAAAAATGTGACGAGCGAATTAATCGTTGGATTTGATCTGGTGTAAATGAACTGTTATCTCGTAGTCATCAAGATAATTGTTTCTTTAATTTCAGCGAGTGCAATGGAAGGAAACGGAGGACGGTTTTTAGTAGATATAGTGAGCTGCGAGGAACCTATTGTCTCAATTAATCCGTTTTGTACTGAAATAGTCTATCCGTATCTGATTTCATTTGATCTTAGAAAGGCCTAACTTTATTCCCAAACTTACTGATTTACATACTATCATCAATTTCACATTCTGTCGTCTCTATAAATTAAATAAATCTGCAGGCAGTTTTCTTTGAAATAATTTTAGCACCGTATAAAATATTACATATTTATGGTAATTTTACTTTTCAGTGCAGGCTTTCTCGGGAATTTAAACAGTTTCATTTATTGTTTTTCTATTAATAATTTTCAACTTCAACTATTGCAAAACTATGCATCCAGCTTCATGATTGAATTTACAAAACTTTTTCACTTTTTAAACACAATGAATATTGTAATTTCCTCGAATTTACATAAAAATATCCCGACTTCTGCACACATCGCTAACAAATATATTAAATTATTTTCCGAAAAAGGGGTGCATCGGCAAAAAATCCTAGCTATATTGAATATTAAAATTGACTTTTTTACCCAGGCGTCGGGCACTTTTAAAAAGAAAACCGGCCAAATCAATCAATATAAATTATTCATAAGCACAGTGGTTCTTATAACGTAATATTTCGCATTACCGTCCAACAAAGAAACTGACTTCTGCCAGCTTGCAAACACAGACGGAAAGCAAAAAATCCCAGAGTTGTTCAGCGAACTATGATTTGTCGCTGCATCAAAATGATGAACAATTTTATTGTGCTATTGTAATAATTATGGCTGAATGCATTAAAAACTATTAAAAAACATAATTTATGCACAGAATCGCGGTCCTAATGATATTAACTCATTTACCCCGGAATAGCCCATATGTAATATGTATATAGTAGTCTACGCCTAGCAAAAAATAGCCCGATTGTTTATTTAAACGATGCGCAACATTTTATTCCCTGTTTTTGTAAAACCAAAAAACTACAGCCGAAACACAATATTCGCTATAATAAAGCTATTGGCTAAAAATGCCGTCACTTTAATGCGCATAAGTGCATAAAAGATAATGAGTGTTCAGTTTCGGTTTCATAATTTATGTTATTTATTTCTGTGTTAATTATTTCCATATTATTGTCTTAAAGTTACGTTGACTCATATTTCATATTTTATACGAAGTCATATTTCTCTTTATTTAAAAATTCAACTGAACCTTGGTAATTTATCTCCACTGTTTACCTTAAAAGCTACCCCCGCAAACTATTGAAGTTGGCGCCCGAGGTTTTATTAGAAAATCCGTCAATTTTGAAGGAAAGCTCCCCTCGGGAAAATAAAAACAACTTTACAGTAGTTAAATTAAGGTTACATTTACGGGCATACTCAGGTTCGTTCTGTATTAATAACAGTGATATGTTGCGATTGAAAATTAGTTTGGGGTATCAGATTTAAGACTGCAGCATTGGCAAAAACCGTCTAGTCGTAGGAAAAATCGTGATTGTAATAGAAAATAGAGAGACTGGGAAACAGAGATGAAGAGAAGAGGAGATGTTGGGCAAGAGAGATAATGTTTGGTTGGAAAGCATTGAATGGGTCAGCGGTTGTTGTAATTATGGTGATCGATTAGAAAATGGGATAGGCTGCGGTATTTACGGATGTATCTGAATTATTTAAAGAGGCGAATTTTCGATTTGTAGCGTTCTCTGTCCTGTCAACTACCAGTTGAGTTTTGCCGAATAATTGCAATTAAAGCTATAATTAAATGAACGCGCTCACCTTTATCATTCACCTCACGCTAAATCAAACCATCCAACTTACGGGGATTAACTCTTTACACACCCGCAACACACATACAAACAGACAGCCTCATCGTTCTTTATTTCTTTATTTAATTTGGAAAGAAAAGACCAATTAGCGAATGTTTTAAGGCGGTGGTTGTAAATGTTTTATTTGTTTATTTAGGCCTAAGGAGGATGAGGGGTGCAATTTGCAAAATGTCATCTGGGACGCCCCATTAAAATAATTGTACCAAAATTTGTGTCGTCAGGACGTTACGAATAACATTTTGCGAAATAAATGAAGGCAGATTTTTTGCTTTGCTTTTCTCTACTGTAAACGTGATTATATTAGACTTTGAATAAAGAATGCAATGTTTTGGATAATTTAGCATCTTGACTGCAAAATTTCTTTTATTAGCTTACGTAAATGAAAATTTGTTTGCTAGTTGTCTGAAACCGTGTTTCTGGTTTAACTAGACTCGTCTCGAAATTAATATTGATAATGAAGATTAGACTGCGTAATAAATAAAGAAAGTGACGAAACGAAAGTAATTAAGTTGGGTAGTATAAAGCTCTTAGAGCTTAACGTTAACGGATTCGGAAAAAACTTTACTAGAATAATAAACGTCTCTAAGATATGTTGGGAATGTTAAAACTTTTATATTATTTATGTTACGAGGCTGCTTTCTTTTAATAGGTCTTATTGATTGTTATAAGGCTATTATTTGTTTTTAATAATTATTGACAGTCACAACTTCTTCTTTATTCGCTGAACAAAGGATAGAAGAAAATTTTCCGGAGAAACTTTACGGGAAACTGAAAGTTGTGAATGCATAGATGAATAATTGACAAGTTGCTGACAAGTAGCACTTTCTCTTAAACATCTACACATAATTGATAACACACTTTTCCTTCCCGTTATTTTTTTTTTTAACTTTCTGCATAGATTTTGTAAATTCCTCTAAGGTTTTTCCTGCGAATTACCATTCTGATTTATTCTTTTAATTGGGGTTTCCGTTTTAAACGACATTTCTAATTGCCAAAAGAATAATTGCTGAATCCGTTTATGTCATGATATTTACAATTTATTGTGCATTTTCTTACCTTAAATCGTGCTTTTATTTGCATAAATATAAGTTGTGCTAAATGTGGTAAATAATTAAGGAATTAAGTGTTTTGTTCGGTATCGCGCGGATTTATTATTAAAATTTAATTTGGTCGCATGTTTTAGTATTAGTAGGCAGTAAATCTTTGTGCAGAGCTCAGTAAAAAAAGGGGTAATGATTATAATTTGATGGTATAAAAGTTTGGTAATAGAGCCCTTGTGTGCAATAATAAAAATAAAGGGAATATTAAACGTAACATGCCTGTTTGTTTCAGTGTTTTCTGGCGGCGAGGCGGCCTCCCATGCAGTTAAAAGATTTACTGGATTATACACGGGGCCATACTTTGATCCCACAACAACAACAAATATAACAACGCAATTGGGAACGCACGCTTACCTACCGTGCAAAGTGAAGCAGCTCGGCAACAAATCCGTTTCGTGGATAAGAAGGAGGGATGCACACATATTGACAGTGGACAGATACACGTTCATCGCAGACGAGAGATTCCAGGCGTTTTTGGTGGAGGCTACCGACACGTGGACATTGCAAGTTAAATACGTCCAGGCCAGAGACGCCGGTCAATACGAATGTCAAGTCAGCACCGAACCGAAAATGAGCCACTTTATTACCCTGAACGTTGTCGGTAAGCATCAACACTTTAATCCTAATCTTAAGACAGACAGCGACGGTGAATTTAAATGAAAAATCATCGTCGTCATCGTCGTCATGGCGTAAAGCCAAACAAAAAGCAATTATCTACTTTTGAGTAGTTGTGGTTGAGTTTGTAAGCACCTTCCAAACAATGTTAACATTTAGTGTGTATGTATGACATCACTTACGTTTTACGGCCTCCGTACTACCAACCAACTCGTGGCAACATTGTAATGATCATAATTTAACACACTCGAAATAATGGCCTACCCATGCTTGGATCATGCATACACCGATACCAATTAATAACGCAACTTCTAATTAACAGTATACTTTGTATAAGGCGAGCTCAAAAATCATCATCTAATCAAAATTCTTTTGACATGTAAAAACAAAATAAATTTTTGCTCTCCGACCAAATTGCTGCTCTAATATATTGTCTTTTAGATATACTTGATATTTTCTGGAATCTTTTTACTTACTTTTTGATCATATATTTCCGTGTAAATTTTACAGCGCTCTGAATATTTAAAGCATCTCTACAGCATTGGATTTTCATGCCGTATAAAACATTTGTCTGTAGTTTATGCAAATTCAAAGAATCATTTTTATTTTTTTCAAGTATGCCATACTAAAACTAATTAAATTGCCATTGCAAAGGACTCTAATTCTTTTGTGTTTCGGTTGAAATTAATTTAGGTAATTTCTGGTTCAAGTATTAAAATTATAACCTAATAATGAATGTTATTTAATATCATTACATAATGTCAACACATAATTTAAATCACATTTATAACCAATCACAATTAACCCAAACCGAATCGCTACACCTATAATTGGAAATAAATTGTTTTCGGCAAGAATTGCATTAACAAAAACGACGCGCTAAGTATCGGTTATTAATGCGCTGATAAAGTCAGAAGTTTACTTTTTACTATCGCAGTAATTGGGATGTGTGCGACTTTGTAATGAAACCATACATAAGGTCCGCAAAAAATAAAAACCATGTTTTAATATTTACTAGCACTCTAATTACACATTAGTGAAATAATGTTTGTAGTAAAATGCAAAACAACTTTATGATTGCTCTGGGCTCGTAATGAAAACGTTACAGCTTTAGTTAGTCATTTGTAGTTGAAGCCGTGTTGCAACAAAACTACATTGTACAGCGTATGTCAAACGATTAGCTCCCCAATTTAACGCAAGACATCAATTTTGAAATTGTTTTGCATCATCAACATTTCATTTAGTTTATAAACACACCCAAACGCTATTTGTTTAATTAACGGCGCTGTATTTCCTACAGTACCGAAAATCGAAATACCCGGAGAAACCGACAGATTCGTCAAAACCGGCAGCCCTGTTCAGCTCAAGTGCGTCATCACCCAGTCTTTGGAAGAGCCGGCCTACATTTTCTGGTACCACGACGGCGAGAGGGTACTCAAATACGACGTAAGCGCCATCGACATACGCATGGAGAGAGAGGGAAGCGACACCACTGTCAGCACCTTGATTATCTATCACACCAGACCTGAGGATTCCGGAAACTACACCTGCAGCCCATCCAACCTCGATTCGGCCAGCGTACTCTTACATGTTCTTAACGGTCAGTCTTTTAAGTATTGTTCATCAGTTTCATTTTTATTAATCACTAAAGAATCTAAATTAACCTATTTTGTTACCTCTTCATAACGGCAGGTCTTTTTTTTATTTATTGTATCACATGGTCTTGCTATTGTTCCTCAGTTTCATTTTTATTAATCACTAAATAATCTAAATTAACCTATTTTGGAACCTCTTTATAATGGTAGGTCTTTCAATTCTTTATTTATGATATCACTTGGTCTTGCTTATGTTCTTTAGTTTTATTATAATTAATTACTGAAGAATCTAAATTAACCTATTTTGGAACCTCTTTGGTGACAGTCTTTAATTTTTTTATTTATTATATCTCCTGGTCTTGCTATTGTTCCTTCACTACAGAATCTAAATTAAACTATTTTGGTTTGGGTAGGTCTTTCATTGTTTTTATTTATTCTATCTCTTGGTCTTGCTATTGTTCCTCAGTTTAATTTTTATTAATCACTAAAGAATCTAAATTAACGTATTTTGGAACCTCTTCATAACGGTAGGTCTTTTTTATTTATTATATCACTTGGTCTTGCTATTGTTCCTCAGTTTCATTTTTATTAATCACTAAAGAATCTAAATTAACCTATTTTGGAACCTCTTTTAATTCTTTATTTATGATATCACTTGGTCTGGCTTATGTTCTTTAGTTTTATTTTAATTAATTACTAAAGAATCTAAATTAACCTATTTTGGAACCTCTTCATAATGGCAGGTCTTTCATTTCTCTACTTATGATATCACTTGGTCTTACTTATGTTCTTTAGTTTTATTTTATTTAATCACTAAAGAATCTAAATTAATCTATTTTGGAACCTCTTTGGTGACAGTCTTTAATTGTTTTATTTATTATATCTCCTGGTCTTGCTATTGTTCCTTACTTTCATTTTTATCAATTACTAAAGAATCTAAATTAAACTATTTTGGTTGGGGTAGGTCTTTAATTTTTTTTATTTATTATATCTCTTGGTCTTGCCATTGTTCCTCAGTTTCATTTTTATTAATCACTAAAGAATCTAAATTAACCTATTTTGGAACCTCTTCATAACGGTAGGTATTTCAATCCTTTATTTATGATATCACTTGGTCTTGCTTATGTTCGTTAGTGTTATTTTAATTAATCACTAAAAAATCTAAATTAACCTATTTTGGAACCTCTTTGGTTACAGTCTCATTTTTAGTAATCACTAAAAAATCTAAACTAATCTTTTTTAAAACCTCTTCGTTTTGTTCTTAAGGAAAAGAGTACCCGAAAATGAGGACTAATGTTTAAGAAGCAACAAATATTCGGTGAAATGAATAATTGGTACCAATTTAGAATTTAGCAGAGCGAATTGGTACCAATAATTCATGTTTCTCAAAAATAACTCTTAAACTAATAAATTTGGTGTTTTTTTTTAAAGGTGAGCACCCAGCAGCAATGCAACGTGGAAAAAATTCGGCTTCGCCCATACCGGCTTGGTCCCACCTTTCTGTGGGCCTTGGATTGGCCGCCTGCACCCCGCCAAGATTCGCTATCGCCGTCGCATTGACATTAGCTGCTCTCGCAGAACTGCTCGTCACATAAGCGGCACAATGGGCCGTCCCTTTAGCCAAAAAAAACTACCAAGAGAAAAAAATACGGCTTAACGAAAACATTGTTTTTTTATTGGTATTAATTTGTTAATTTCTAATTAGATTTTATATAACTAATAAATTTAAATCAAGGTGGAAAAACATGTATTATAGAAAAATACATATTAGACAAAATATTGTCACAATGTATAAATCTATTGATATTACTTATTCTTCTTAATTCATTCAAAATGCCATAAGTGGACAGCATATTACTAGTAGCTGGAGATTATTAATTATATTTTTGCTTTAAGCTAATGTGTAGGGTCTAGTCAAATTTGTTATTTAGTTTTAACTAGTCGACTGGATATGCTGTCTGGATATAAATTCTTATGCCGTATTTTCACGCGAATGGTAAACAGTCCAGCAAGAGTGGGGATATTTGCCATGCAGCATTTTGTCTATAAAAACAATTCTCTTGAAATAAAGCAAAAATGCAAAACTTAATAAAATAAAATAATTTTTAGTTTGATTTTAAGATAATCGTTTTATGTTTAACAAGTAAGTAATGGGCGACTGAAATCTTTAGAGTCGAATTATTTCCCCCTCTTAAAAACCAAATGCTGCTCTGTATACATCAAAAACGAAAATACGGTATACTTAAAAGTGTCTGTATAACAAATAAATATTATAAAGAATGAAAACAAATAATTGTTATTAATATGAGTATATGTTGTGATGACTACTACTAATATACATACTTATATTTTGTATGTTATAGAAGTCTGTATAATAATGTATCTTTAATGCTGCCATGCTAAGCTACAAGCCCATATTGTAGATTAAATATTGTTTTAAACAATTGAAATTATCATTTATTACTTAATATTGTAGATACGTCCTTTTAGCTTAGCAAGGCAGAATGGGTACTGCTAAATATGCAATTGCTTCTCAAATATTAAGATTCAATGTAATAATTTCTGTAACGGCGTTATATGTACTAAAACGCCTCATTTGCTGTAAATTTGTCATATGGTTGCATATTTAGCCTGTATAAAACCAAATATAACTGTTTGATTTTAATTAAAAAATGTCCCATTTCATCTACATATTTAACCTATATAAATGTCACTTAATTTTTTTTATCAACAGTTTAATATATGTGCAAGAAAAGACTTATATATAAATATACTGTTGGACTGTGGTGTTATTATTTTTGTATATATAAATTTTAAGTTTTAACAAAAGTGAACATGGACACTAAATTATTTAAGCCTAAAAATTAAAGGTGTGATTACATAGATAAGTTTAACTAGTTATAATTTAATTTGTTTATAGTGATGGATCTCCAAACAAACATTTAAACACCGCTAAACCACAACTCCGTAATTACGACCATAGGCAACCAAGATTACACAATACAATGCCCTGTTTGTTGTATGTTTAATAGCGTAGGCCTAAATTATTAAATAAATTGAACACATTGTTTATGGACATCACTTAAATGAATTAAGTATATAAATGTAAAATGAATATCATTGCAGTTGTGATTGGGGAGTGAATGGGTCGATATGTATAAAGTATTTTTACTGCAGAAAAATTTTAATTAAACTATTTTCAGTTTTATTTTTCGTCATTTCATGATGTGGCAACTGGGATGTTCGTTTTGCAAGCGCTGCAATTTTTTTCTTTAAAACATTAAATATTGTACATTATAAAAGTCTTAAATAGCGTTCATAATTCAGAATTATAATAAATGATCTGCTGTTACTCAAATCTGTGACATTCTTAGTCCTTAGATAATTTTTTCTTTATTTTATATCAATTTTATTGATGTATTTTAGATAAGAACAGAATGTAATCCAACTTTATGTTGAATAAATCGTTATAATAAATAAATCACATTTTTATTATATTTTAAAAACCCCTTTAAAAATAAAATAATAACTAAAACCAAATTCAAATAATTTGCATAAAATTATGAGTTCTTTTGATGTGTGTAAATTGGATGTTCTATGATATTGTTTAATTTGATGTAAATATAAATTTTCAACCACGTTTTATTGAAACAATTGTTTAAAAGCTACAATCTGCAAAACTGTTGTTTTGTAATTTATTTTCATTATTTTATTCAGTTTAAAGATAAAAGTGTAAAAAAGGACTTGTATTTTCATAAAAGATATTGATATTTTTTAATTCCAAAATAATCAAGATAGATAGATATATGTAGATAAGACGTAATATGAGATGAATTTTATTAGGTTATAAAAAGTTTAGTAAAATATTTATATTATTCATATTATTTTAAAATTCAATTTTAGTTTTTTTTTAATTTTTTACTTTTTGTGACATCACAAACTGTCACATTTCTAACGACCCCATCCCCCCAAGTGTGTGACATTATTTATGGACGGCCCCTTAAACAGTAAACATTCGTGATATCCAGGTGATAGCACAGTGATATCACTCGTTATTTTCTATTTAAATATCACCACGTGACACTGCAATTTGTGGATTTGTGAATATTATAATAGGTACCCCCACTTAGTACCCAGGTTATAGTTGTGAATTTATGACAAATGCGATAAATTCAATATGATACATTCCTGGGTAATAATAATTTACAGTGCATATACTACCGCTTCCGCATCCGCTTTTGCAAAAATGTTCTGTTGACATCTGTTTCCGATTCTTTTATGGCTGTTGCATCATTACTATATAGTTGTTTTATTTTTAATGCAAATATGCATATTATATTGATTAAATAAATATTGGCATATAATAATAATAATATCGTTTAATTACAAAAAAGAAAAATTAATAAATATTTTTAATGTTCTTAAATACAATACAATGATCCTAATAAAACTTTTTAAAAGAAAATAATGTTTATTTTAACATTAAACAAAGTAGAATTTTTATCCAACAAAAATTATTAATTTCAAAAATTAATTTTTCCATCGTTGGCATAGCTATAAATTGTTGGGGACTTTCGCGGTTTCACATTGGCAGCACTGCGTTATCACTAAGGACGTTTCGTTAACCGTTTACGATTTAGTTCTGTTTTTTATCCAAATTTTTAAGCGTTTTTAGTTCATTTTAGTGGAAAACTGTTTGATTTAAAATAGTGTAAAAATAAGGAATGGATGATAAACATTTTGCCCATAGAGCACGCAAAAGAATAAAAGAAGTAAAGCGAAAAGCAAGACCAGGTATTTAACATAACCTATAAAAGTTAAATATATGCCTTAAATTCTTAGTTTTTGTTGTGTTTATTCAGTTTTATAGTGATTATGGTTGAAGATATTAATAAAAACTTGTAGTGATGCTTGCAATGACTCATAAAGCTTATCTTAATTTTAGAATTAAACACCAAGGAATCGTGGACGCAGCACAATTATGCTGGAGATTTCGAACGATTTCACAATTTCGAGGATAATTGTGAGCGAATTGATGAAAACAAAGTCTCACAAAGGGAATTTATATCTAACTACGAGCTGCCTTATAAACCAGTCGTCATTACTGGATCACAGATAGGATGGACAGCAAACGAAAAATGGACACTAGATAGGCTAATTAAAAAATATAGGAACCAAAAATTTAAATGCGGTGAGGACAATGAGGGGTATAGCGTTAAAATGAAAATGAAATATTATGTACATTATATGCTAAACAGTAAAGATGATAGTCCATTATATATTTTTGATAGCAACTTTGGAGAGGTACGTAGTACATTGACTTGGTGTAAAACTGTAAATAACAATGTTGTATTTTAGCATCGTAGAAGAAAAAAACTTTTATATGATTATATTGTCCCATGCTATTTTCGAGATGACTTATTCAAGTACTCAGGTGAGGTTAGAAGACCTCCTTATCGATGGTTTGTCATGGGACCAGCCAGATCGGGAACAGGAATCCACATAGATCCCTTGGGAACAAGTGCCTGGAATGCATTAGTCATAGGACATAAAAGGTCAGTTTGTTCGAGAGGTTTTCGTACTACCAACTACAGAATAAATCCCTAAAACGCAATATGAATTATGAGTTCTCCAAATTTTGGCTCATAAGACGTTTTCTTTCACTTGTCCTCTTTAATACACTACCCTAGTAGCAATGGAATTGGACAAGATTCTTTGTCAAGATACTTGGAGAAGCACTTTGTAAAGAATTGCACAATTCTTGACCAAGACTCTTGATCAAAATTCTTATCCAGACTGGTGGCAGACTTGGACAAGTCTGTGACCAGATTCTTGGCCAAGAATTTTTACACGATTACACGTTAAATAGGAACTTTCAATTCAAGATTTTTGGTCAATACAAAATTTTGTTGAACTTCAAAAGTTAAGAATGTTACTAAAAACATTAATTTTCCACGATTTCTTTCCAGTAAATTCGGTTTTTATCCATAAATCTGGTAAACAATAGAATTAAAAACGAAACAAATTTTGAAAGAGTTAAAGTTTTTAATTTTCTATGTTAAAAAAAAAACCAGGTGCCCGTAAAAATAAACATGTATTTTATAATCTTTCATGTTCATAAAGAGTAAACTCTAGTTATGCGTCAGAGCTGACACACACTTTTTTTTTTAATTTTTGATTTTTAGAAATAACAATTTTTATTTTCAAAAAATCAATTTTTTTCTCAGCTAGAAGACGAATCCAATAAGCTCTTATTCGTATTTTCACATAAACAAAAAAACTATACTCATTTCCTACAGAGAACTCACTTCTCGACTAGTATACATTATTGTGAATGATACTACTGTAGAATGAGAACCTCTACTCTATAGGATAGTCCCAAAGTTTAGCAATAGATGGCCTCAGATTTCTGGTCAAATTCTTGGCTCAAGTCTTGCCCAATAATCTTGGCCAAGAATCTGGAACAATTCTTGTACAATTCTTGAGCAAAAATCTGTCCAAAGTATCTTGACCCATGCTGGGCCAAGACTTTTCCGGAATTGCTACTAGGGTATTGTTATTGTTGTTTAGATGGTGCCTATTCCCAACCCACACT